AGGGGCCCCGCCCTCCTGGCGGAGCAGCCGGTGCTGCCCGGGGTGGCCACCACCCCGCGGTTCACGCTGCCCGTGCCTGGCTTCGAGGGCTACCGCGAGCCGCTTTGCTTGAGCCCCGCTAGCAGTGGCTCCTCTGCCAGCTTCATTTCCGACAGCTTCTCCCCCTACACCTCGCCCTGCGTCTCGCCCAATAACGGCGGGCCCGACGACCTGTGTCCCCAGTTTCAAAACATCCCTGCTCATTATTCCCCCAGAACCTCGCCAATAATGTCACCTCGAACCAACCTCGCCGAGGACAGCTGCCTGGGCCGCCACTCGCCCGTGCCCCGTCCGGCCTCCCGCTCCTCGTCACCTGGTGCCAAGCGAAGGCATTCGTGCGCCGAGGCCTTGGTTGCCCCACTGCCCGGAGCCTCACCCCAGCGCTCCCGGAGCCCCTCGCCGCAGCCCTCGTCTCACGTGGCCCCCCAGGACGACGGCGCCCCCACTGGGTACACCCTCACGGCTGGCTCTGCCGTGCTCATGGATGCCCTGAACAGCCTCGCCACGGACTCACCTTGTGGGCTCCCCCCCAAGGTGTGGAAGACCAGCCCGGACCCGTCTCCGGTGTCGGCCACCCCATCCAAGGCCAACCTGCCCCGCCACCTCTACCCAGCCGTGGAGTTCCTGGGGTCCTGCGAGCAGGAGGAGAGGCGGAACTCAGCACCCGAGTCCATCTTGCTGGTGCCTCCGACTTGGCCCAAGCCCCTGGTGCCTGCCATCCCCATCTGCAGGTGAGCTGGGCTCTGCTGTCGCTTAGTCTGCGCTGTTGTTTTATGAGATGGTTTTCTGGTTATCAATATGGGATTCAGAATCAGACAGTCTGGGTTTACATCCTGGCTTTGCCATTCAGACTGAGACCCGGAGTCGGAAGTTAAATTCCCTAGGCTACAGTTTCCTCATCTGTCAGATGCGTGTACTTGGTGCACCTGACTCACCAGGTTTGAGGATGCGGTCATTCGCGTGTTTAGTGTTTTGGCTCACTTGGCACCTTGCTCTTCTGTCTATTCCTTCAGCAAGTGTGTATCAACACCTATGGTGTGCTAGATTCTATTACTGGTTGTCGGCAGATAGATTGAATGAAGTGGGCAAACATTTCTGCCTTCATGGGGCTTCCATGGCAGTAAAACCCAAAGCAAGCCTTAAGATGCAGAATCTATGACGTCATTGTAAGAACTGCTGTCCGTTCATATCTGCTATGTGTCAGCCGTAGTCCTCGAGGAGTCTGCAATCTTGGCGAGCTGGAGATGCACACAGATTGCAGGATACAGGCTTTGGGGCCTCTCGGGCTGAAACTGGGTCCTGACTCTGTCACTCACAGCCTGTGTGATGATGGGCATCTCGGTGCTGCCATTCTGCTCCACTGGTGGCAGACATTGCTAGCCAGTCAGGACCCTCTTTCTTACTGAACGCCTTTTTGATACCCTGCCCTTGGCAGACATCACTAATCAAGCAGGACCCTCATTTTCACTGAGCAGCTCTTTGGCCTTGGTTCAGTCCCTGTGAGTTGAGGGCGATAATAGTACCTCATCTGTTCTTTCAAGTGTTTTTTTTTTTTAAAGGATCAAAGAGATGATATATGTTAAAGTCTTGGCATGGAGCCTGTACAAATTCAGAGCTCAAAAAAGGGACAGCTGCTATTATTATAGGGAAACATTATTATATTGACAAGCCTTGTGCTAAGAGATTGTGCTCCCAATTACCTTTAGGGTGACAATGTAGTGACTGTAACAGCCACCAATATTTTAAGGATATCTGCAGTATGCCAGCATAATTCTAATTCTCTATGTGGATTATTTCATTTAATTCTCACATAAACCTGGTTTAGTATTATTTTTAATCTTTATTTTGATGATAAGAAAAAGGAGGTGCTTGGAGGCTAAGGGCAAATGTGATTACACCTGTTATATTAGACGGAGAATCGAGAGACTGACGTGAGCCCATTATCCCTGTGTTTTTCAATCACAAGATTTTTGCTTTAGTGAATGCAAGATTTTTTCCCTGCCAAATAAGATACTGAATTGAATACAAAATAGACAGAGAGAGAGCCATTTTTTATTGCTGTGGAAATGAGGGTGGCCAAGGGCCCTATCCACTGGGCTTTGTCTACCCCAACACCAGACAAAGCTGAACCGTGGGCAGCGTCCCATCTGGGATTTCAGCCAAAGCAGGTTCTGAGAACGGCAGAGCCATAGTAGGTAGACCAGTGTTCTTTTTTTTTTTTAATTTTTTTTATTTTTTTTATTATTATAAATTTTTATTTCTTTTCTCATCACAACACACATATGAATTTTCCATCCAAAATACACTGTGCATTGGCTCAATCAAGCACATCAACATATATGTTCTCAGCAAATGATTTCCCAATTTTTGTGTCCTGCATACCTTGCCTTTTGTTTTGCCATCCTAGGTTCCCCATCCCCACCCTCTGCCATGTCCCATCTTCCTCCTCCATTGTCCCTGACATTCATGATTGCCCTCAATGCCTTCCGCCCCCCC